AACCCCCCTTCCCCCACTGCCTTAGCCCACTACTTTGACACCCTCACCCTCCGCGATCCAAACTGGTACATGGACACCAGTGCCACCCACCACATCGCCTCGGACCCAGGTACTCTTTCTCATGTTCGTAATCATTTTTTAAATTCATCATCATATATCACTGTAGGTAATGGTTCTGAAGTTCGCACAACGGCCACTGGTAATTACACCTTTCCCACATCCCCTCCCCTTAACTTACAAAACATCCTTGTTTCCTTGCATATAATCCACAACCTTATCTCAGTTAGACAATTCACCCGTGACAACAATTGCTCCATTGAATTTGAGTCCACTGGTTTTTCTGTGAAGGATATGCTGACGGGAACCCTGATTCATCGGTCCAATAATGTCGGGCCACTATATCCTATGAGCCAAACAGCCGCCCATGCCCAAGCCCAGGCCCACGTTGCCACCGGAAGCCCGGAGCTCTAGCATCGTCGCCTTGGTCACCCGAGCCTTTCCGTCCTCCGTGGAGTCTCCAGTCTCTTGCCTACTATTTCGTTCAAACATTTACAGCACTCTCTTTGTCATGCTTGTGAGTTGGGAAAACATGTTCGTCTCCCATTTGAGTCATCGAGTCGTATTTCTATTTTTCTCTTCCAGCTTTTACATACTGATTTGTGGCAATCGCCTGTCACAAGTGTTACTGGTTTTAAACATTATATGTTACTCTAGGATGATTATTCACATTTTTATGGGTATTTCCTCTTAGAAGTAAATCTGAAGCTTGCTCCCATCTCCATACTTTTATAGCTTTTGTGAAAAACCAGTTTAACACTACTATTAAAGCTGTGCAATGTGATAATGGTACTGAATATAGAAACGGGCCCCTACGTAATATTTTTGAATCTCTGAGCATTCTTTTCCGTTTCTCCTGTCCCCACTCCAGTCAGCAAAATGGACGGGAAGAACGCACAATTCGTAGCATAAATAATACCGTTCGTTCTATTTTATTCCAAGCCCAACTGCCACCCACCTTCTGGGTCGAAGCCCTATATATGGCATCTCATCTCTTTAACATCTTACCCACCAGCACCCTCCAAAATCGTACCCCCCATGAAGCTCTCTATGGTCATAAACCCACATACTCTCGCCTCCGTGTCTTTGGATGTCTCTGCTATCCCAACCTTTCCGCCACAGCACCCCACAAACTCGCCCCCCGTTCGGCCCGTTGTGTCTTCCTCGGGTACCCGTCTAACCAACGGGGATACTGATGTCTTGATCTCCTCACTCACAAAATTATCATCTCTCGTCATGTGACCTTCGATGAGCATTCATATCCCTACTCTCATCCGGTCTCACCCACCGATCTTGATTTTCTTCACTCCACGGAGGACGATCCCAACCCGCACCACAATTATTTCTCCCCTCCTAACCCAACACCCCC